ACAAGCGGAAAATAACAGCTGCCGAAATACGTACATGAGCAAAAAAATAAACTGTTGTACGACAAGGCAAGCTGAAGCAAAAAACAAGGCAAAAAATTCAGAAAGCGGCAAGTCTAAACTTAAGCGCATGATGAACCGCAAGATTCTGAAGACGACTGCCCGAGTTCCTATGCTTCAGCCCGAGGATCAGACTGATCAGCATTGTTGAGCCCCATGGTGGCCTCAACCCCAGCAGCAGAAGAAGCAGGCTTTGCACTCTGCCGAGCCTCCCTTTCCCTCAGTTCAGCCTCCAACTCCATTCTCTCAGCTTCTTCTTCGGCTTCCTCAGCCTTAAGAATTTCAGCTTCGACTGGAGTTGCATACTTCATATGAGGGTCTTCGGGATTCTGGACCCATTCAGCACATTTGGACCAGTCCAGCTTCGGCTCAGCATGAAGGCAGACTCTTCGGCATACTCTGAACCCGTTTCTGAAACCCATTTCATATTCTTCCTGGGTATAGACACGGACTTTGAGTAGAGCCTCAGCATCAGCCAACTTCTTCTGGGTCTCCTCCAAGTCTTCCTTGGATTTCTTCAGCTCATCGGCGAACTTGGAGGAGGAACCTTTCCGCTCATTCAGCTCCTGCTGAACTTGGAAAGCCTTTGTCTGAGCCTGGGCCACTTCTTCTTTTTTGGCCATCAGCAGATCCTCAGCCTCTTGGAGCTTAGCTCTCTGAGCTTCAGCAGCAGCAGCAGCCTCTGAGAGTTGGACATCCCTAGCCAGGAGCAGCTCTTCAGCAGCCATTCTGCTGGCTTCAAGAGCTTCTAACCGTTGCTGCACTTCAGCTTGTGCAGCAGCCCCTTCCTGAATACGGATCTCAACGGCAGCCTTGAATTTGGAGACGTCCACTCCCATGTGCTCCTGGAGGAATTTTTCCCCTTCCATCAGTGGGGGAAAAACTTCCTTCTCCATAGCGTCGCAGAAGGTTTTGAGGGCTTCAGCAGCTTTTTTCTCGTACTCCTCACCCTTCTGCTGCTTCTCTTCAGTTGTTGCTTGCTTCAGCTTAGCAAGCTTTAATTCCTCTTCAGCTACCTTCTTGTCGTGCTCGGCAGCGTCTACCCTATCTTGTAGGGTATCTATCAGCTCTACAGTGAGAGTCTGATTGTGCACGAACTGAAAACAGGAGCACAAGTTAAAAAAAAATATAAATAAAAATAGAGCTGAATTTTAGAGGAAATAAAGGCAAGGAAAATCACCTGCATCATCAGCAGTTGGTTAGACCTGGCTGGGTCAGGAACTGATCTGCTGGATTCGCCCATCCCAGCAGTGGCCTTCAGCGACCAGATTCTTGCCCTATCTACTTCGGACATGCCAGCAAAATCGCCGAAGTAGGCTGCAGCACCTTCACGGTTCTGACCCCATATGAGGTCCCAGATGTGATCAGGGATTGGAATTCGGGGGGCCGAGAAACCCATTTCTCCAGATTGCAGAGTCTGGAAAGAAGGAAAGGATGACGATGGAGCTTCTTTAGCTTTGGATGGCTCAGCATCATTCTTCTCAGAAGAGTCAATTACTATGACCTCTTCTTCTTCAGGGGTGAGGACGAAAGCCTCAACCTCTCTTGCAATGTCTGCCGTGAAACCCTCAGCACTGGGCATCACGGCATCCTTATTTTTGTGCTCAGCAGCACTCTCCTGAATTTCTTCTTGGACCCCTCCCTTAGATTCGGGAGTTCTCTGATCCACCTCCATCTCAGGAGGTGGCGGAGGGGTCTTTTGAGGTGATTGGGGTGGTGGCCGGGGAACCCTCGGCGATCCATTGCCTTCCTCGGGTTCCCTTATTTCAACGCCGATGTTCATCGGCCTCCGCTGAAAGTCATGAGGGCCGATGATGGCCATTCTTCGGCGCCTTTTCTGAAGGGGCTGCTCGTCCATGTCTGAGTCTGAAGACTCTTCTTGTATTTGGTCTTCGGGACGAACAGGGGCTTTCCCTTCTCTGTGTCTGTTACTCTCTTCAGACAGGGGGGAGGAAGAATGTGAGTACAAAAAAAAAAAAAAAAAAAAAAAAGAAAGACAAAGTTAAGTCTGAAAGCTCACCGAGGTCTTCAGCAAAGCCTCGTCTTCTTCAGCTGCCCTAGCTGCAGCTTCTTCTTCAGCAGCTCTGGAGGACCCTTCTCCTTCTTCGCAAGCTTCGAGAACCCGTGCAACCTCTTCGGCTGCACGGGCAGCTTCAGCTTCTTCGTCCAGCAGCTGAAACCAGGGGTCTCTCTTCTTCCACCAAGGCTTCTGCCTCTGATACAGAGCAACAACCTCAATTTGGAAGTGGGAAGAGTCTAGAAGAACTTCCCTATGCCTCGGTTCAGTGATAGACGGGGCCCGATCAGTTACAACTCGTTCTCGGTTGACGCCAAGACGAGCGTAGTTGATGCCAACGTTGGTCTCGTCCCGTTCTGAAAAAGAAAAGGGGAAAGGTCAGTTCTGTTAGGTTGGCACAGCATAAAAAAGCGAAGTGAGGAGAAAAAGAGATAATTAAAAAGCCTCGGCCCCAGCCGAAGAAGCTTACCATCCTTAAACTTTCGGCTGAGGCCAACAGCTGCTAGCATGTTCTCTTGGAAAACATAATGCGTATCGGGGAGCCAAGTCTCCGGGATATGCTGCATTCGGCCACTGCCCCCCCGGTTCGGCAGCTTGCCGAAGATATTTTGTTGATCAAGGTTCGGATCCGGCCCGTTATCTTCGAGGGGACCTAGACTTCCCATGTCGGGATCAGGCTCAGCAATGTACCGGGGAGCGCTGAAGACGCAAGGGTGGCCCGGATCCGTGGGTGCCCTAACCCAAATCCATTGACCTCTCCAGTCCTTGTCTGAAGAGTCGTTCGGCCACATGGTTAGGTATTGGGGCCGAGACTCAATCCGGTACCACCCAGAACCATGGCTTCCGTGCCCACTTTGAATATTTGGCACTAGCCGATGAAGCTTTTTGAAGCAGTGCAGGTTCGGCACATACTTGAAGAACTTGCAGACCCATAAGTATGTCATCACCCTTCGGATGCTGGTGGGAGTTAACTGACATAGGGAGATATTGTAATGGATCAGCAAGTCTCGGACGAATACGTCCAAAGGGAACCTCAGCCCATACTGAAGCTGTCTTGTGTACACCCCCACATACCCCGGGGGTGGACGATGGATTCTATCGAATGCCGCGGGCATTCGGCACCAATACCCATCAGTTTCAAAAATGCCGTAATGCAACTCAATTTGCTCGGCAAACCGATATTGTTCGGCATTCTCCACCCACCATGAGTAGGGGCGGTTCTTTATCATGGCCGAAGCTACTTCGGCATTCTCCCACTCTAAAAACCCGGGGAGGATATCCCAAAGGACAGCGGGAACTTCATCGTCCCGTCCAGAAGCGCTCGGCCCCTCCGTTCTCTGAGGAGGAGCCGAGGAAATTGGAGTCGCCCTAATCCCTTCAGCAGGGTCAGACTCTGGCCTTTTTCCATTCCAGGTCCCAATCCTGTTCCTAGGATCGGGAATTGGCCTTGCTCTTCTTGGAGCACGGGCTCTACCTCTAACTCCTCTTGCCATTGATTATTTCGAAGAAAAAAGTCGAAAAAAAGGGAAGGAGTTCGAATTCGAAGAAAAATAAACTGAAATCAAAGGAATTTACCTTAATCTGAAGCGAAAGTTGCCGATTTACGAGTTCGTAGTGGCAAGTCTCAGTTCTAAGCTTAATGCTCGGGGAATTTGCGAAGTTTTGATGCGGGTTCTTGGGTTCTCTCGAGAATTCTGGGTTTGTGTTTGTGAATAAGTGAGGAGAAATGACGCGCCTCTGATTATATCTCCAGAAATGGGAATACGGGGAGTCCGCGTTTCAATTTCTCTTAAATACCCCACTAAGTAACCGTTAAACGCACGACCTTGTGATTAAACTGCCCATTATCCGTCCAACTTCCACAATCATCCGCCTTAACCGTTGTTATCTCATTAATTACGGTTTAAATTCAAATTTTTGGATTAATTAAATCATTTACTTCCCTCCTTTTCTGAATTAAATCAAACCCGACCCGTCATCCTTCCAAATCGGGTCTGGGGGGCAAGTTGTTTGGGTCCAATTTAGTCCAATTGGGCCTAGGCATTAAATGATCCAATTAAAAGCCCAAGTTCAAGGTTCAACTCTCCAATTGTGCTAAAGTCAAAGGTCAGCCCTCAAAGCAAGCCAATTGGGCTAAGGCCCAACTTCTCCATGTATGAAGAGGTATAAAAGCCATCAATATTCAGATATATTCATTCATTCACATATTCTCATAGATTCCCATACATTCTCATATATTCTCATATATTCAAGCAAAGCCTCAAGCAACTAATTCTCTTGCATAGTGTTCTCTTTCTACACATTGTACTGACTTTAGCATCGGAGGGGCCTTCCACGGCAACACCCCCGAGGCTAGTTTACGTGTGTTTACTGTGCAGGAAACCTTCGGCCCAACATAACTTGGACCGAATCTAGTCTTCTCCGTTTCAGCGGACCTTCGGCAAGGTCCCATTGTTTTCACCCGAAACAATATAAATATATATATATATATATATATATATATATATATATATATATATAAACTAAGTGTCACCAAAATTTTAATAGTTGTCAATTTAATAAGAAAATAACATTGATTGTTGGTACGTGGATGTCATTACTATAGTTGACACGTATTGTATTAGTAGTGGTACTAGTATTTAGTATCGAATACTAAATTTCGTCAATATTTTTTTTATTGTGGATTGTGAAGTTGTGAACTAAAATCTTGTTTAGTGTAATGAAACACCTAAACCACAAAAGATAAATAATATAGACGGAAACTAATCATATGTTTTGGATCATCCCCTAGTAACATATATAACCAAGCTACGAGTAGTTGACATCCAACATGAAAAATTAATTTTTTGATTGGTGTTAGTTCTGCATCGTCTTATATATTATTACATGTTATGCCGTCATAAAAAAATTTGTTTCATCTTTGTAGGTGGACATACACTAGGAGCAGGGCATTGCATAAACATTGTGGACAGACTGTACAAGCCAAATCCAAGAGATGAAATGGATCCCAATTTTCAACTTGCATTAAAATTTGGTTGCCCTACTAAAATTCCTATGACAAACTTAACAGCAATACCAAATGATATAACACCAACTATATTTGATAATCAATATTATAGGGATATTATTATGGGCAAAGGCTTGTTTAGCATCGACTCCACTATTTCAAGGGATCCTCGCACCATTAATATTGTCAATCAATTTGCTGATGATCAAGAGTTGTTTTTCCAAGCTTTTTCTTCTGCTTTTGTTAAGCTTTCTTCGGCTAATGTTCTTACTGGGAACATGGGTGAAGTGAGGTTACAATGTGATCAAGTAAATCGATGACATTATTATTAATAATTGTCGTATTTTAAACATTTTCATGTCTCATATATGTTTATATTATATATGTATATGAGTTTCATATGAATTAGAATTGTCTTTATAGTATTTGGACCTTTTTTTTACCACTTACTATAATGCTGTTTATCTTCCTGTGCTTTGTTTACTTCGCATCATTTTTACTTATTAAACATATTACGATCGATATTATATTGTAGATCTTAGCTACTTAAGTTGGCAAGGTCATTGCTCAATTAAAGCTGTCAAAAGTTGACCCGACCTGAAATATCGACTCAAACCTGATTATTAAACAACCCATCTGAACCTGAAAAATGGTGACCCAAACCTGACCCGACCCGACCCGAAACCAACCCGAGTATGTGAAACACAAACCCGAACATGAACTGACCTGGAGATGACCCGACCCGAATGTAACCGGTAAATTATTGACCTGAACCGAACCCAACTTGCATGAACCGAAATTGACCCAGACCCATTTTAACCCGCCAAAACCCGAATTTAACCCGACTTGTAACTAATCTGACCTAAATTCAACCCGATCCGTTCCAAACCCAACCCAAATTTAACCCAACCTATTATAAACCCGACTCGAAATCAACCCGACTTGTTATTGACCTGATCCAAATTCAACCCGACTTGTTATTGACCCGATCCGAATTTTACCTGACCTATTACTAACCAGACCCAAAAATTCAACCCGATATGTTACTAACCCGACTCGAAATCAACACGACTTGTTATTGACCCGACCTAAATTCAACCCAAAATGTTCCCGACCTGATTTCAAATCATGTTAAATGCAATTTAGACCACCTTATTATTGTTGATCAAAGCATTTTATCTAGGGAGACCAAGTCGGTCCAGGCCATCAAAAGAAATTAAAGGAGCATCATCCTCAAATTTTAGGGTTAAATATAGTATATATTTGTTGTATGGTCGAAGGAGATAATTTTGGAATTTTTTGACATTTTTTTCGCACGGATATTAAAATTGCCGAAATGTTTACCAAGATCCCTAATACCCTCCGAGAGTCCATTTGAGTGGGTGGAACTATCCAATTTTCCTTTAAACGACCAATTTACTGGTTTACAACTTGCACCGATTTCATTAACTCAAGCCTACCACGAACATTTATGACAACAAATAATGATCGTATATGGTTCCAAACGACATTATATGAGCCCGAAGTGTATTCCCTAGAATTTCAAGACTTTTCGACACCGGGCTCGAAGACTCCAAAATTTCTCAAAAAGCCTGGATATAGCCTTCAATTTATGAATTTTTTAACTTTTTTCGCCCGGGAAAAAAATTCCGAAATGTTTACCATGGTCTCTAATACCCTCCGGGAGTCCAATTGGGTGGGTGGAACCATCCAATTTGCCTTTAGACGGCCAATTTACCGGTTTACAACTTGCGTCGATTTCATTAACTCAAGTCTACCACAAACATTTATGACTACATATAATGATCATATATGGTTTCAAACGGAATTATATGACCTCGAGATGTATCCCCTATAATCTAAGGGTTTTCGACACCGGGCCTCAAAACCTCCAAAATTTCTAAAAAAGTGTGGATATTAGCCTTCTTATTTGGATTTTTTTCACATATTTTCACCCGCAAATAAAAATTGTCGAAATTTTTACCATTGTCCCTAATACCCTCCAGTAGTCCAATTGGGTCGGTGGAACTATCCTATTTGCCTTTAAACGGCCAATTTACCGGTTTACAACTTCCACCGATTTAATTAAGTTAAGCCTACTACGAACATTTATGACAACAATTAATGATCATATATGGTTCCAAGCGACATTATATGACCCCGAGACATATCCCCTATATTTTCAAGACTTTTCGCCAGTAGGCTCCGAAACCTCCAAAATTTCTCAAAAACTGTGAATATTAGCCTTCAATTTTTTAATTTTTTAATTTTTTTTTCGTCCGGAAATAGAAATTGCCGAAATGTTTACCTTGGTCCCTAATACCCTCTGGGAGTCCAATTGGGTGGGTGGAACCATCAAATTTGCCTTTAAACGTCCAACTTACAAATTTACAACTTGCACCGATTTCATTAATTCAAGCTTAACTGGAACATATATTACAACATATAATGATCATATATATATGGTTCCAAACGGCATTATATGACCCCGAGATGTATCACCTAAAATCTCAAGCCTTTTCGATGACAGGCCCCGAAACTTCAAAAAAATCTCAAAATGCGCGGATATTAGCCTTCGATTTTGGATTTGTTTGAATTTTTCTTGCAAGGAAATAAAAATTGCCAAAATATTTATCATGGTCCCTATTACCCACATGGAGTCTAATAGGGTGGGTGTAACCATCCAATTAGCTTTTAAAGGACCAATTTACTAGTTTACAACTTGCACCGATTTCATTAATTACTCAAGCCTACTACAAACATTTATGACAACAAATAATGATCAATTATGGGTCCAAACGACATTATACGACCACAAGATATATTCCCTAGAATTTCAAGACTTTTAGACACCGGGCCCCGAAAACTCCAAAATTTCTCAAAAACCGTGGATATTAGCCTTCAATTTTTAAATTTTATTGACTTTTTTTTCGTTCGAAAATAAAAATTGCCGAAATGTTTACCATGGTCCTTTATACCCTCTAACAGTCCAATTGGGTAGGTGGAGCCAACTAATTTGCCTTTAAACGGTCAATTTATCGATTTACAACTTGCACCGGTTTCATTAATTCTAACCTACCACGAACATTTATGACAACAAATAATGATTATATATTGTTCCAAACGGTATTATATGACCCCCGATATGTATCCCATAAAATTTCAAGGCTTTTCGTCAACAGGCCCCGAAACCTTCAAAATTTTTCAAAAAGCGTGGATATTAGACTTCAATTTTGGAATTTTTTTTACTTTTTTCGCATGGAAATAAAAATTGCCGAAATGTTTACCATGGTCCCCAATATCCTTCGTGAGTCCAATTGGGTAGGTGGAACTATCCAATTTGCCTTTAAACGACCAATTTACCGGTTTACAACTTGCACCGATTTCATTAACTCGTGCTGACCTACCACAAACATTTATGACCACAAATATTTATGATAATATATAATGATCATATATGGTTCCAAACTACATTATAGTACTTTTGATCGAAAAATCAAAATCAATTGGATTTTTTTCGTACCCTTCGCTCAATGAGAAAGTGGGTCAGATTCTACAGGATCAAACCTATGGGACTTAAAGAATTATGGAAAGGATCCAATGGCTTCGAAAGAATTGAACGAGGAGCCGTATATGACCACGCCCGAGATATATCCCCTATAATTTCAAGACTTTTCGCCACCAGACTCCTAAACCTCCAAAATTTCTCAAAAAGCGTGGACATTAGCCTTCAATTTTAGAAATTTTTGACTTTTTTCATCACTAAAAAATAAAAATTGCAGAAATGTTTAACATGGTCCTTAATACCCTTCGGTAGTCCATTTGGGTGGGTAGAACCATCCAATTTGCCTTTAAACGACCAATTTATCGGTTTATAACTTGCACCGATTTCATCAACTCAAGCCTACCACGAACATTTATGACAACAAATAATGATCATATATGGTTCCAAACGACATTATATGTCCCCGAGAGGTATTTCCTAAAATCTCAAGGCTTTTCGATACCAATCCTTAAAACCTCCAAAAATTTTCAAAAGCGTGGATATTAGCCTTTATTTTTAGAATTTTTAGACTTTTTTTGCTAGGAAATAAGAATTGCCGAAATGTTTACCATGGTTCTAATACCCTTCGGGAGTCCAATTTGGGTGGGTGGAACCATCCAATTTGCCTTTAAACAACCTATTTACCGGTTTATAACTTGCACCGATTTTATTAAATCAAGCCAACCATGAACATTTATAACAACATATAATGATGTTATAATGATCGTATATGGTTCCAAAAATCATTATATGACCCCGAGATGTATTACCTAAAATCTCAAGGCTTTTTAACACCATGCCCCGAAACCTCCAAAATTTCTTAAAAAGCGTGGATATAAGTATTCAATTTTGGATTTTTTTGCTTTTTTTTTCGCCTAGAAATATGAATTGCCAAAATTTTATCATGATCCCTAATACCCTCCGGGAGTCCATTTGGGTGGGTGGAACTATCCAATTTGCTTTTAGACGGCCAATTTACTGGTTTACAACTTGCACCGATTTCATTAAATCAAGCCTATCGCGAACATTTATGACAAATATAATGATCATAAATGGTTCCAAACAACATTATATGACTTGGAGATGTATCTCCTGGAATTTCAAGACTTTTGGACACCGGGTCCCAAATCCTTCAAAATTTCTCAAAAATCGTGAATATTAGCCTTAAATTTTGAAATTTTTGTCATTTTTTTCGCCCGGAAATAAAAATTGCTGAAATGTTTACCATGATCCTTAATACCATACGGGAGTCCCCCTGGTTGGGTGAAACCATCCAATTTGCATTTAAACGACCAATTTACCGGTTTACAACTTGCACCGATTTCATTAATTCAAGCCTACCACGAACATTTATGACAACAATTAATGATCATATATGGTTCCAAACAGAATTATATGACCGCGAGGTGTATCCCTGGAATTTCAAGACTTTTCGACGCCGGACCCCGAAACCTCCAAAATTTCTCAAAAAACGTGGATATTAGTCTTCAATTTTGGAATTTTTTTGACTATTTTCGCCCGGAAATAAATTTTGCTGAAATGTTTACTGTGGTCCCTAATACCCTCCGGGAGTCCAATTGGGTTGTTGGAACCATCCAATTTGCAATTAAACGGTCTATTTACCGGTTTACAACTTGCACGGATTTCATTAACTCAAGTATACTACGATCATTTATGACAACATATAATGATCATGAATGGTTCCAAATGGCATTATATGACCCCGAGATATATCTCCTAGAATTTCAAGAGTTTTCGACACCGGGTCCCGAATTTGCTAAAATTTCTCAAAAAGCGTGGATATTAAGCCTTCAATTTTTAATTTTTTGACTTTTTTACACCCGGAAATAAAAATTGTCAAAATGTTTCCCATGATCCCTAATACCGTACGGGAGTCCCCTTGGATGGGTGGAACCATCC